CGTTCGTAACGCTCACGAGCAATGTTTTTCCTTAGTTTAACGTTTGATAAAGAACAAGGATAAAATAATTTCACGAGCGTTGTGAGCGTTTAATGGAACATAACTATAGTCTTATAATATTATTAGCAATCTAGTGGACCTCGAGTAATCGCCGTAATTATCGAAATGTTTATGTATAACGCTCACATTTTTCTTGGTCTGCTGCTTTTTTTAAATATTGCTAGATAATAATAAGTGTAATTCGATTGATACAAATAGTATTCGCTTGAAGGCGCTCTCAATTTTGTGTTTCGCCTAACATTTGCAATATTATAATGGTATAATTTGTAATAATAGTAACAATAGTAGCGTTAAATATTAAAATAGTAACTATATAATATAATATTATATTAGTTGCGAAGTTATAAAAGTAGTAATAGTGATAATAACAGTGCAGCATAGCGATGTTGCATTTAAAATAGTACGCAAACTATATACACAATAGATTTCGGATTAGTTGACGATGCTTGATGTATATCGTAGTGACATAATTATCCGGTTAGAGAAATCGCAATGCATGTAGTGTATCGTTACTTTCAGTAATGTCAAGGTAGAATCTTTTTTCGTATAATGTACATGGCATTTAAACCAATCATGGCATTTAAACCTTTCTTTTTCCATTTTGTGTCTATAATAGTGGCATTTTCCTTCTATTTAAGCAAGTAAAGTTTGTAGCATTTAACATCTTTCACTTATTATTGTGTTAATGGCGGCAATTTTACTTCGATATACATACAGCGTTGTGTTGTGTTGTAATAAATAATATTCATGGTAAAAGTAACAATTAAAGAACCAAGCTCCAATGACCTTGACATATTGTTAAGATTATGATCCTTCCAACAAGTTTTAGCAGTCGCTCGTTATTCGTTAAAAAGTCATTAACAAAAAAATTTATGAAATAACGTCTTATTTTTGCTTTATATAATATTGTATTAAGAACTATTCCGCACTCAACCTGTTTAGAAGAATCAGATTTTCCATGCAAAATAAGGTCCACCCTACCTCCCTCCCCTGCCAAAGGGTGCTAGAATTTTCACATGAAGCGAATTTCACCACACTTTCTCTCTGCTAAGGGGCACACGATTTTTCACGTGAAGGGAATTCTATCCCATTTCTCTTCTATATCAAAGTCGTACATCTCTTAACGAGGGGGGGGGGGAGGGGGGAGGAAATGAGACTCGCTTAACGTGGAAAGTTAAACGTTCCTAAGCAGAGGAAGGTGTAGGATAGTACTCAATATTGTATATGTATTATTATATCAAAAATATAACGTTATTTCTTGAACCTTTTTGTTAATAACTTCTTAACGAATAACGAGCAATGGTTAATACCTATTGGACATTTTTCAGAGCCATTACCTTGACAATATACTATATGTCAAAATGAAGGTCATTTGGAGCTTAGTCCCCTAATCAGTACACAGTACTTTTACTCTACATATATGAAACAATCACAAACAAAGGCTCATGACAGTCAAAGTTAGATATTTAAATATTTAAATAATTCCATGTGAATTTGTATATACTATATATGTATGTATGTATGTACAGATAATACATATAATATACTATACATTTGTAATAATTTGTCCTGCGCGCAGAATTAATTTTCTCGGACTTAGAAACGCAGCTAAACTACTGTAGTAATATCACAATTAAATTTGATGCTCAATAAGCATCTATTAAAGAGATCTTAATATGCTGGGAATTCTGTAAATAAATTTATTGCGAAAATAGTACCTCTGCCGGGAGTCTAAACTCCCGGATCTCTAGCATTCCGTGCGAGCGTCCTAAGCCTTTAGAATTTAGATCATTAGCATCTACTAAGATCTGAATATTTGATACAAGATACTTGAGACAGAGATGCGTAAATTAAATTGTTCACTTACCGATGTATCACAATAAAAGCTTTATGTGTAATCCTATCCAGCTTTTTAGCTACCTTTGTCTATCTACCTAGTCATTTTAATATACTCATATATTTTTCTGTTTTCAATAGTTACACAGTTCGACAAAAAATCACGCTTTCTTTCTAAAGTGTCATAGCATATATATTTCGAAGATTTTTTACACTGATTCACGATACCGTCAGAATTAACATATGAAAATTTTGAATAAATGGGAGTAAAATAAATAAAAATTGATGTTTTTAACTTTTTTCAATATTTTTTTACGGTAAAAAAATTTATTTCTAAATAAAATCAATCTAAAAGTACAATTCAAAAGCTTTTAAATGAATTTTAGTTTACGATCGTATAGCTTAACTTCTTCAAGTTATAGCTATTTAAATTTTAGACTTTCTGTATATTATACAGTACAAGAAAGGTTAATATATTTCGAAAAGGAAAGTTCAGACACAGAATTTTATGTTGAACTGTGTCCTTTATGCATTTATTTGAAATATTCTATAATTTCCGCATCTTTGTATGACTTATTTCATATTTAGTTTTTGATTTTCGGTTACGATTTTGGAATTAGGCGCACGACAAGCGAACAATCAATACTGATATTACGCTAGTCATCTGAATCAATCATGTCTATATATACATTTTTTGTGTTAGTACAGTTGAACATCCATATTCTTAGCGTGTTAGAATCATAATTGTTCTATTCTTTTTAATAAAATAAAAATGTGTATTCTGTTATTGACAGATTATGGATATGTATGGCACATTTTCCGTCTTTTATTCATTTTTTTAAATTGTTCTGAATTCCTAATGTAAAAATTATTCGTTCCTATACAGCGGTTTAAAGCATTTCCTTAATTGATGTTAAAGATCATTCTAAACGAAAGCAAATATTTTAATTCTTTTTCTTTGTTTTGATTTTTTCAAACTTCTTTTACTTTTTAATTAATTGATTTTATTAAATTCTGTTCTCTACATTTGAATTCTCCTTAGTTTCTTCTCCTGTCTAAATCTTTTTTACACCTGCGTACTACGCAGTGAATTAAGCATCAGCGAAGTATTAACTTCCGCGACAAACCATCCAAGGAAAGTACAAAAGTCAACAAAAAACTAAATGACATCAAAGTAACTTTTTCTGATACTTAAAATCAATACATAGTCAATTTTCCTTACCAAAAATCATCATTTTGACGTCAAAGTACGTTATTTTAACTTTCTCTTGCCTTGGCATTCCTTGGGTATAGCAAACATTAATATTTATAAGTACCCTTATCAAGCCTAAATAATGTAAGATGGTTAGATCAGCTTTTTACTGATTTTCACATATGCAGAATAGCATCTGAAGTGTAATTATGTAATATGAATTATACATGTATACATTATTATACATATTTTTCGTATATCTTTTCGCTTGCTATTTGTCAATGTACTAAAATATTTACAATGCCAAATGTAACTATTAAAATATTAATATAACAATCATATATTAAGTATATAAATATTATATAACTTGATATATAATAATAGTACATAAATATATATTAATATAAATAGAAAATATTTAAATAATTATGAAATACTACTTTGAATTCTGTTTCTGTAATTTTATTATTATATTGTGTTAGCAGATTATGTTATATAATATTTTTGGTATTCTATGATAATATAATAAAATTTATAACAAATACCTTTCAAATATTGAGTTTTTAATGGATTTTACTATTTGATTAGTTGTTGTTCAATGAAACTTCTTTTAAATCAGTCATTTCTTCTTACAATTAGTTTTCTTATAGTGAATTCGGTGAATTTGGACACATTAGTGCATGTTACTATTAAATAAAATACTATTAAAGTTACTATTAAACAAAGATTTTAATATGTACTATTTAGTACGTATCAGTGTATATTAAAATGTTGTATTTTATCTAATAGTAAAAGGCAAATATTTTGAATAAGATACAGATTTTATTTAATAGTACAATAAAATCTATTGATGTTTTCATCCGTTTTTTATGTTTATATTAAATTAAATACATATTTTTACGTCAATTGTTTACGACAACTTTAATATGCATCAATGCACACTAAGTGCATCCAATTAAATTTGCTATTACAGAAAATGTTAATTACACATTTTGTGAATCTATTTGTAACTCATAAAATCTTCTACATTAAACGTGTTAATCAAAGTGTAAAAATGTCTTTTTTGAATATTTTTTCTTTACTTTGCAACCGCTGTCCCAAGATTATTGACAGTATCTTTTTACTAAAAAAAAGTTGTTATTTTCACACTTAGTCTTTCTATTTCTATGTCTTTTTCTATTCCTTTTTTATTCCCTTTTAATTTATCATCTTGTGTATGACATCAGCTCAAGAGAATATATTTGAATCTTTCACTTTAAAATTAAACCATAGTGTTTTTAAAAGTGCCGTTGTTATTTATTTATTGTTGTATAAATAGTTATTTTTATTATTAAGTTATTTATTATTAAATATAATTAATCCATTTAGTGCCAGATATAAGAAGTTTTGTTATTTTATGATCATGTCAAATATATGAACGTTGAAGTGATGCAACAAAGATGTTAAAAATATGAAAATACATAGGAGAAAAATAAAAGTACATTCTGAAATGTATTGATAGTATTGAATGTCTATAGCACTTACGTGAATTATAAACTTTTATAATTCAGTATTTAGGACATCTTGAAACATATCATGTAAGAATGTAAAAATTAAAAGTGTTAAGAATACAGAGGTTCGTCTGTAATGATATTACAATATACTTTACATTATAGTACGTTTGATCACATCGTCAACTAAGCTAAGCGTCATTTTTCCTGCTTGGCCAAAGCATTCGCCAGCGACACATTCTATTATCTACCAGATGTAAGAAAGAGAAAAGAATAATGAAGATAAGTGTATACAGTTGTTGCTCGCGAACAGTTGCTTGTAATTAGCTACTTTCTTCATAGAAGAGTGCTTCCAAGAACTATCACACGTGAGAGGAAATGAAGAATGGTTGAAGGCGAACCATCGTTGGTATCTTTTCTTTTATATCGTGTCTTTGCATATCTTGTATTTGTGACTCTTTCTTTTCCCTTCAGAAAAAAATTTTCTTGTATTTCAGACATTCCACTTATCTATTGCAGTTAAGTAATATTTATGATTTAAAAATTTTGAATGTATATATTGTACTTATTTGCACTATGCATCGTTGTTCTTGTTTTCACAGAAAAAATTAAATAATTGTGACATAAATGATTATGTCTTTATTTATTTGGAAATATTTTCAATTTTAAGAGAAGATTCCATCTACTGTACATTTTTTCGATTTCTATAACATGAACGTCATCTATTGTAAAGTTTCATTGTCGTTCATACCAGTGATAGACTTCTCGGAGATTGTTGAATATCGTTCTACGAAGTGCCCTTATAGTGAATGAAGAAGAAAGTGAGGAACATAAAATAGGCGACTGGAAAAGTGATCCTGGCTATCACGTCGATCGTCTTTGCCACTCTAATTGGATGTGGCGGATCCTTTTTCCTCAGCTGCAAGAGAAAAAACTTTTTTACCGTGATCAAATTTCATACTTTAAGATTTCGAATATATATCGTAATGTAGCATTATAAAAGTTAATAAAATAAAAGTATTATAAGGACGAGAATTATCACACATTGGATTCGTTGTTCAAGAGAGAGATCAAGAAGTATACATATAAGATTTTTATGACATTTTTACAAATATCACAGATATTTTTTAATAATTAATCTTTAAAAAACCGAAGGAGAGTCTATTTTTAAGATCTTACAGTTTTTTTTAAATAAAAATTATTATAATTCATTATATTCCTTGCTTCAAAATATAACAGTTATAGTGGTTTCCTGTCCACATCAGTAATGCCAATGTTTAAAAATTGGCAAATTTTCTGAAAAATTATAAGAGATTTTTCCGTAGAAACTGTTTGAATACTTTTCAAAAAGTTATATGATGATAAATAAATACTTCATAACATGTGAAAAATTTACTGTATTTAAATTTGATATCAGAAATATGACATTTAAAATAACAGATCTAATACGGCAATTTTACAATCAGAAAAATAAATACATTTTTGTGAAATTAAGATTGTGTTTCAATATTGCATTCAACAAAAAGAGTTTTCGTTGTAAAATTATATAATATAAAGATTGATTTATACATCTTGGATCTAATGAGAAATGAAGGGCAAGATTAATCATACCAAAGAATTTTATAATAGCTGCAAAACTGTTTAACTGCAGTCATTCTTTGTCTAAAAATCTTATATGTAGAGTGTGAGCGCGCATGTACTTAATATAAGTTACAGATTTTCAGCGTTAAGAGTGAATTTTGGAAAACAGTCTAAGATATTTTTGTCATTCAAATAAATGTACATACTTATTAAAAAAGAAATTAAAAAACAAGTATTTTTTTTTTAAGAATTGTACATTTTTTATTTCCTGAGATACATACGTTAAAAATAAAAGAAGTATAAACAATATATCATTTTAAGTAATTGTGCGTTTTTTTAAATATATGTAGATTGGGTGTATTTTCGTTAATTCAACCAGAAGCGACCTTCGTCTTCACGGATCAGAAGACGAATCATGCGCCTATGCGTTCCACTTAATGCTCGCAACGCTCACGAGCATCGTTTTTCCTTGTTTGACATTTGATAAATAACAAGGATGAAATGGTTTCATGAGCGTTGTGGGCGTTAAGTGGAACGCATGCATAGTTGGAATCATCGAAGGAGCAGCTTCCGTATGATCACAGATAGGGTCGCAGTTTAACCATATACAGTTACGACAGTAAAGTCAGAAACTTTGATGTTTGTGCTACCCAGTCACGTGACTCTCCGCCACGTTTTGGATAGTACAAAAACGTGTATAATTCAAAGATGTAAAATAAAGAAATATGATTTAAATTTCTAGCTGTATATCATAGACTTGTAATTAATAAAATAGGTGATATGATAAAAGGAGCCACAGAAAAAGTTGAAAAGAATTAAATTATAAAATAAAATTAGATAATAATAAACACACATTGAAAATTTTATTGTATTTTGAATGAATAAAACACATTTCGAGTTACGATGGACAAAGTGTAAAAATTTCGAGTTACGATGGACAAGTGTAAAAATGTTAATTTTTAATTTTAAATTTGTAAAAATGTATTCATAAATTTTCACAATAAAATATACAGTTGTAAAGTATAAAAATATATAATTATTGATTATTATAATTAAATATTAATAATGTAATTTATAAAAAAATTAAAATAAAATACAAGTAGAAATATTTATTCAATATTTATTCAATTAATACAATAAAATTAAAATATTATACGTATATATTATATACATTATGTTGGAGAATCGTGAGTGTATTGCTCGACGGCGCCCAGCATCGTCGCTCACAAGTCTCGCCGCACCGCGCCAAGGAACTTGCGTCAATGACAGCTACGAACATTCGTGATTACATATGCAATGGTAATATTGCGAAAATAGGACAAATACAAACCCTATAATAAATTTGTACGAATAAAAATGTCGACAGAGAGAAAGTGATAGAAATCTACAAAATATAATTAATTTCTATCGTAATCTGTCGATGCGGCGAGATATGTGAGCGGCGATGCTGGGCGCTGAACGGCGCGCTTTCCTTTTTGCTTCTCTAACGCGCTGCCAGCGCAGTCCGTGTTTGAAAAAGTGGGCCGAACTATACCTCGAACGGTTGAAGCGTTTCTCTCAACGCGCTCTCATTAGTATAATTTAAAAAATTAATATCTATATTAATATTGCGAGAATCGCTAAACGGTATAGGACTTTTGTGTTTATTTCGATCCTATCTATACCTTATTCCTGTGTGAGGAGTTTCACGGGACACCCTGTATATTTTTATGATATACCCAGTGAGAAATGACAACGTAATCAACATTGAATTGAACATCGATTCGATTTCATTGTTATTTCTCACTGGGATATGACCTAATTGTTAATTAATAACATTTTTTAATAATACCGTTGAGCCGAATTGCTCATTTCTTTAATTTTGGGTTTTATAATACACGGGTTTTCTACAATAAGCTAAACCTTGAAAACGGATCCAACTCGATGACCTTAATCTTGGTATATAGGTATTATATCAGCAAGATCATGGTCCTAAGTGATCTTCGAATAATTTACTTCGAGAGTAAAAATATTCTGATTATGTTTTAAATTAGATAACATATTATAGAATATTTTACTCTCGACCGTATATTTTATCATTTTCTTCAATATTTTTTTAATGAATAGACATTCGAGGGAAAATACTATTTATTACAAAAAAAAAACACACATTTGCATAGTACCTCAAAGGTGATGTGAAAAAATATCTTAATTCTAATTATCATACATTATCATTTATATTTTTGCACAAAATATATATGTAAATAATAGAAAATTTTATTTACAAAAATTATATTTAAAAAAATTTTGTACAAGTTTTTCCTAAAGGTAAAAATCTTATGTACGTTTACTTGTAAATACATTATACAGACAATTCCAGTAAAAAGAAAAAATAGGAATATGTAGCATTACTGCTTACTGTGTCAGTTTTGAGGCTCATTTTGTCAGACGCTCATTTTTGCTTATCTTACAAAAACATTAATTATTGCACAATTGCAAATAGTATTATAAAAATTGCTTATACTATCTAATAGAAATAGAAGATACTTTTCAGTTTGTACTTATGTTTTTAAAGTTTTATTTTTACCTTTTGTTTACGAAATATTATCTGAAAGCAAAGTGATATGTTAATATCGGTAACTTTTCTATATCAAAAGTAAAACGTTTATTATGTACAGTCAATGGCACGAAAGCGTAATCAGCAGTTCTCTGAATAAAATCGAGTATATTAAAGAAAAATATAATAAAGTTATATTTAAAAGTCCATTCACTAAAATGCATTTACTTAGTTATGACATCTAATCGTTCTCATTAATTAAAGCTCTCGTTAGTATTATCGATAGTTCTCTGTTTCTTTTATATGAAGGGTTATTATCCTTTGATCTCTTTTATTTCTTCGAACAGGCTATAAAGTAAATCAAAATTACCCATTATCAGCACCGAACAAAATCTTGTCGAGAAATTTCAAAAAACGATACATGCATCTTAAAGTACTATCTTGCTCCTTCAAAATGTGCATTTTGAATTTTTTAAATTCTAATAAAATTGTTGTCTTATAACAAAGATGGCAGCTATTGAAAAAAAACGTAATTTTTTCAGGATTTTAGTTAAAAAAATGTTTTACTAATATGTTTCGATATTTACATAACTGATGCCAAATTATTTCTTACCTTTTTTCCTTCAAATCAAAAAGAATCAAATTATCTTCATTGTGAGTAGAGTTATAAATCGCCATATTTGCGTGGTACGAATTCGCATTTGGTGTGCTAGGTAACAGTCGCGAAATATAAGCTTCAACGAAATGTTAAAAATAATTAGATATCATAACTAAATAAAATACATTTTAGTGATCAATATCACTAAATATCCTTTTAAGATGTAACTTTAATTTGTAATAATTTTGATTTTATTTAGAGAACTGCTGATTACATCTTTGTTCCACTAACTGTATGTACATATATTGTAGATGATGTTTTACTTTTATTATTTTAAATTAATTAATTAAAGTTTATCTAAATTTTAAATGCATTTTTATATTTCTCAAAAAAGGAACACAATATTTTATAAAATAGACTGTTATACTTGTATATATAATAACTTGCTTACCTCGGCGGTGCAACCGTTTGTTGTCGTATGCGTGCAGGGATTAGGTCCGCAGTTAGTGCAAGCGACAATTTCGTTCGGTCCAGTAGTACCACCAGTAGCTCCGCCTTCCCTCTTCTTTTTACCCTACGACAGGGTCTCCGTAGAAGACACTTATATTTTTAATTATAAATTTTTTATAATATATTATATACTCGTATTTATAATATTGTATATTAGATCGTCTAGAAAGTTCGTGCGGTTTTTTTTTAGCTCAAAATTTTATGTATAGTATCTTTGTTAAAAATGAGTAAAATTGAAATTTAAAAAAGTGATCTTAAAGCTTTTGAACTCTCTAATTTCTAAAACTTACTATATTTTTTTAGTTTTGTGACCATTCAGTTTCTTAATTTTTTAATTTAATAAACTACGAGCTAAAAAAGGATGTAAATTTTTTTTTCAATTTGTGGGTTTGCCGTATGCTAAAAAAAAATTACGAAAATTTTCGACTATCTGTCGTGAAAGCTTCAAGTTTTTCCTAGAAAATCGTTTTTAACTCTCAAATTTCGCACAACCGTAACTTTCACATTGCTGGAGCGAATTTGGCTTTTACGTTTGAACCTTAATTTTGTTGTGGAGATGCAGAACAAAAATAAGTCAAAATATGTGTTTTCTGTAAGAAAATTGTGGGTATTTTTGCTGGTGTGAATTCGTACCAGTGTGGAATTTAAGGGTTAAAAATAATTCCTACCACTTTTTTTTTTAAGTTACTCGCGAATTAAGTAAAAGGAGTTAAGTAAAAAGGAGCGTTGTGAATTTGATTGCTAATAACTTTGTTAAACATTATTGTATTACAATTAAAGGAACAGATTCTTACTGAATAACTTTGCTTTATGATATAATTATCAATATTTAAAAAAATAGACTATGCATAAATTTGAGCTAAAAAGATGTGGTACTTTCCTTATAAAAATTACGCAGTGCTTAAAAAGATAGTAATATCACGTTTTTTTCAAATTTATATATATTCCACATTAAAAAATTAGCAATTACATCATTTGATAAAGCAAAGTTTCAGCTTCAAAAATTTGTTTCTTTAATTGAGAGTTATGAGCAATACAAATTACAATAATGCTCCTTTTTACTTAACTTGCGAGTAACTCGAGAAGAAAGAGTTGTAGGAACATTAAACAAAAATGATTTTGCAAGGAAAATTTTGAATGATAGATCAAAAATTTCGCAACAAATATATTCTAATTAATTTTGAGCTAAAGAAAACCGCACGAATTTTTTGAACAATCAAATACTTTATAATATATTATAAACTTAAACAATAATCTACCCTTTTATTCATCCTCCTTCTCGTCTTTTTTCTTTTGAAACGTTCCCCCTTTTTTAGATCTTTCTTCAAAAATTTTTACACATGCATTAATGATCTTCGATTTTTCACATTTTCTCTATACATTTATTGATCCCTTTATCATTTTTATGTACAGGGTGTCTCAGGATTTAACGGACAATCTGCTATAGATCATATACTGGAAATAAGAAAAAAAATATATATATGAAGTTTGATTAGAAATGCTTTATTACTAAGTTATAATTAAATATTGAAACGGAATATTTTGATAGCATTTTAATGGAATATTGGCATTTTTATGGAAATTACTATTTCACACGATAATAAAAATTTATTTAGCAAAAATTTATGTAACAGCTATTTTTTTCGAGCGTAACCGTTGTCTTAAGGCTAAACGAATATCATATATATTCATGCACAGTTTGAAATAATATTGAATCGTTTAAAGATAGTAAATGTAATGTCTACATATTACAATATAATGTCTACATATACAAAACACGTTTAATTTTTTCATACACAAAATGTATACTTTTATATTCTGCATAAGAAAATCCATTGTTTCTTACTTCATGTTCCGTTTCAATATTTGTTTATAACTTTATAGCAAAAAATATCTAGCCAAACTTCATATAACATTTCTTTTATTTCCACTTATAATGCTTCGTAGTTTATCCGTTAAATTCTCAGACATTTTGTATATAAATAGAGTAAATAATTGATAAGCATGGCCTAAACAATTAATAAACGTGAAAAAAGAAATATTATGGTACTTTTGATACGTGCCATAATGCTGTGTTGCGTTATTACAGCATGAACTAATTTATCCAGCACGCGTATGTCTAAAATCAAAAAATACAACATGTTCTGATCTTGGACATACGTGTTGTTTGGATTTTTATCAGAAAAAAGTATGAATTGATAACCCGTGGCGCGGCTTCTTATAAGCAAACTAATAATAATGTAAGCGTACTAGGCTTTATTAAGAAAAGGCAATTAAGCTTGCACATAAAAGCATGTGATATTTTTGGAATAAGATGCACTAAAGATATGAATTAAGTATCATTTCCGTGTTACAAATGCATGAAAATGCAATATTAACACGCTGATTTAGCAGAGACGTCTTGCTAGCGATCATTATTGTTTTAAAATCGTATCAAGTACTGCCGGTGACGTAACGTTACATGGCATAATAAATTGAGAAAAGACATGAATTAAATATTGAAAATCGCTGAGGTTATCTTAATCTGCTGCAAAAATTATCCACAAGTGAATCGTTGCTTTTTCTAATATTTTTTTTTCTTTTAATATATACAGGATGTCCCACGAGTCGTAATCGAAATTTAATTACATATTACTGACTTAAAAATAAGACAAAATCCTAATATCAAAAATATCGAGGTTGCAATATTAAATTAGCAACGATTAAAGTTAATTAATCGTATGTAGAGAAAAATGTAAAGTAATATACATTCGAATTCTAGTTAATTTTATGGAATCTTCAAGTAAATACGGGGACAGATGTCTTATCTACAGGGACTTATGTACAATTTTTTTTATATTTCTGGTAAATGAGTGATCATCGATTAGTCATAATAATATGTAAAATACTTTTTACATTTTGTGAAGTAAAATTATGCTTTTTTGCATAACGTAAAAAGTACTTTACAGTATGACTGTACAACGATTATTTACTAGAAAAGTAAAATTTTACATAAATAAACACCTGTTCTTCCATGAATCTGCCAATTACACACAATTTACAGAATTATAACGTATATTACTTTACATTTTTCTCCATGTTTGCAATCAATAGAATTTGAACCTAAGATTTTTGGAATGATAACCTAATGTAATAACGCTGAACTATAATCACACGCTTGACTGGACAATTTGGCGTTCGATTATTATTTGACCTGTCATATCTCGCGCAAATCTTCAGTAATTTACTTTATCATATATGTAATATTTCTATATGATTAGCTGAAATCTCAACGGGGGCCCAATATTACGGTGCAGACAATGCTTGTTCTGTCTTTGTTATTACTGTTCAGTTTGTTGTAAAGTATAGGCGTGATATGCTGCCATACCTGCGCCTAACGATTACTGGATATTTCTCTCATTCTTTCCTAGAGAGTACCAATAATCATCCATCTTCTATTCTTTAATGTTGGGTCCAGTCACGCTTAGGCAATAGGAGGGCAAAGCGGAAGGAGAAGGCAAAGCGAAAAATACCATACCTATTCGTATACCTATTCAAATATTTGAACGTGCCGCGATCGGGACGTTGAGTATATGTACGAATCACTCTTACGTTCTTTTCTTTGTTTTTGTTCATAGTAATAAAGTAAAACTTGTACGAACACAACACATTTGCACAGTGCAATTGAATTCATCCTGTTGGCAATATTACTACAAATAATCTCGATTCTTGTTTTCATCAAACCTCATTTGAACCTACTCACTCTACCTTAAAATTTTATTAGTTAGAGTTTTTAGTGTTACTACCATAAGGGATATGGGTTGACCATTACAATTAACGGTTGCCCGGTTCTATTTCCGTTAATTACGATGGACTTGCTACATCGTGATTAGTTGAAGTAGAATCGGGCAACCATTAATTGTAATCGTCAATTCGTAGTCTGATATGGACATAAGAGCACTTAACTCATCCGAAGTTGACCTGACTTTAATCCGATTCGAATCCTCGATGGAAACTTAATCAAAGTTGGAACGAGCAACAGGGCTGTTATAATGCGTTCACCGAACGCATCTCTTCGATGAGTATATTACAAAACGAAAGTGAGATTGGTGGAATTTTTGCACAATACCATGTATCCATATACAGTGAAAGCTAAAATCACGTTATACAGGGTGATTCACTAAAATCGAATATCTTGATATTCGCTTTATTTCGTTCATTTTTAATAATGATATAAGAAAATATTTCAGATGGAAGTAAAGCGGTTTTGAGGAGGACATATTTTGGGGTTACGTCGTTTTTTCTCTAACAATAAGTGGAGGCGCTAAAAAGATATAAAGGTCACCCCTACTTTTTTAAATGGAATTATGTGATTTTTTTTTGAAAATACAATTCCTCTAATTATTCTACATTATAAAAGTATTAAAGTAGAAATATCAAAAAATTAATAGTTTACATATTATTTAAATATTTTATATTTTACTCTGACACACAAAATGTTAAATTTTCGTACCTTAATACTTTTATAAACAGAATAATGAGATGAATCAATTGGAGTAAAAGAAACACGTAGTTGCTTGTTTAAAGAATAATCAATTTTGCATACATATTATTTTTACAAGCAGATATATTTTTTTATTCCAATTGATTCATCTCATTAGTCTGTTAATAAAAGTATTAAGATACGATTGTCAAAAAGTTTTCATAACGTTATACTTACTCACACCATCAGCCTTGCTCTTTATGCTTTATCTCGAACATTGTATCGACAATGTACTAGATTTAAAACTATCTCAGAGCGTGTATAGCACGAGTAAGTTTAAACAATTTATATCACATATTTACATTAAAAATGTGTTATTAATAAACGCGATGCTGCAAATATGTTGCGCAATATTTGTGATAAGTTCTCTTATAGAACGTGAATATAGATAGCATACGCTTTGGATTATATTGTACATCATGCGTTACATGAATAAAATAAAAATGAAAATATTAAAAATATTAAAATTATGTTACTCTTAAAATTATTTATTCCTTTGTCTCTCTACCATTCCTTCTTCATAATTGAATGAATTGATAAGAAAGCGCGCTATAGGCTATTCGATTAATATTATTATATGAAGAAATATTAAAAATTCGTATCATTCTATTGCTAAATCGCATAATAAAAAATCGTTGAATGAATACTATATCTATTTAATAAAATTGCGATTGAGAAGAAAAGAGAACGGGAAGAGAGCGCAACGGAAGGAAGAGGGAGCGCGAATAACATGATAAATATAAGACCGCGATGGCTGAGAGAACTGCATCCTAAAACGGATGGGAGAGAAAGAGGATGAGAGGTTGAAAGAGAACGCAACGAAAAGAAAAGGAACAAACTCCTATTCCCTTCTAACGTTCTACCATGGTCCCCGATAATGCGCTTCTCTCTCCCTCAGACCCAGACTCTATGTTGCACTTCCCCCTTCCTGACCGGCACTAGTTGCGATCAGCTGTCTAATGCCCAATTTCTTCTCTTCCAGATTTACAGACAACTTTATCCAGGAGATATTTCCATTGTATTCTGGCAGATATCTTCTGGATAAGGGTTATCTAGAGATGAAGAAATTGAACATAAGAAGAAAATTAGGGGCTACGCAGAATAAAAGGAACAGGGAACAAAGAACAGAGAATAAGAATTTCAACCTATCAGAAACTGTGTATTCTACAGTACATGACTTCTGAAATTCGTATTCTCTATTCCATATTCTTTTTATTTTCTGCGCAGCTCTTAGGGTGCAACCACAATAGAAGGAATAAGGAATTAGGAATGAAGAATAAGAAATTTCAATCTATTAGAAATCGGATACATTGGTATACACAGTTTCTGATAGGATAAAATTTTTTATTCCTTATTCCTTCTATTGTAGCCGTACCTTATTCTATTTTATATAAAACACACATACGCGCGCGAACGTTCTCTCTCCCTCTCTCTCTCTCTCTCTATTACTTACCTTGCAGAGATGTTTTGTATTATACCGTTATAACTTGACGGACAATTTTTACAACCATGAAAAAGTAATACCAGCAATATTTCAAGCAGGTTTCAGTCAAGCAAGTTATGTCTTTAGGAACAAAATTAAGAGTCAACATAATCAAAATCTGATTTATCGGCCTCTGTAACTAAGATGATAAGAGCTATGGGAGAGAACGAGACGTAACAAGATGTAACGTCTCGATTTCTGCCATAACCCTAAGTCAAGCTGTGTTTGTTTGTTTACAAACATAATCTGATTGACTGTTGTCATCGAGCTCAGAATCTGAGCACAGGATTACCGTAACATATTAAGACTTTTAGGACAATTACAAGATTATTTTTGACTTACTTACAAACAATTAGATTACTTATTTTTGCTTATGTATAGCTTACACTGAGAAAAAAATGCTGTTGATTCAATTAAAATCTATATTGCGGGCTGTCACTAACATAAGTAATTAATTCATGTATATTTTTATTGATACAAAAACTTTGATTATTAAAACAATAATCAAAACCTTTGTATCAATAAAAATATACATGAATTAATTACTTATGTTAGTGACAGCCCGCAATATAGATTTTAATTGAATCAACAGCATTTTTTTCTTAGTGTAGCATGTGGTAGCACGCTATCAAAAGATATAGTGATGTCCATTAATTTCAACGTCATCGTCAAACTTGTGTACAATTACTTAAGTCTGTCTTAATGTATTATGACAATCCTGTGCTCAAACCCTAAGGGCCATGGCACACAAAAAACTTAAGGCAGTAAGACGTAAGCAGTAAGGAAATCAACGTTGTGGGTTTGTTACTGCTTAAGTTATGGTCTTACGGCCTCTACGGCTGGGTCCACAACCTCGCTTTTGAAATTGACCAGTCACAGTAGATTATTTTTCTCGCATTAAACTATAATTGGTCAATTTCTTATGGCTTTACGGCTTAGGGTCTCTTAAAGCGAGGTTGTGGACCCAGTTATAACAGTGTAAAACAACGAATCTCTGCAAGTGAGTGAGGAAGTGAAAAAAAGAGAAAGAAAGAGAGAGAGAGAGAGAGAGAGAGCGTGCGTGTGTTATGTGAAACAGAATAACTCCGTCCTTAATTGATCGCAACGAGTGCCCGCTCATGATCGCTCGTGTCGGATGATGAGTGCGCCGCCCCTGCATACCTTTTGTACGCGGCCCGTAATTCGCTAACTTTATCTTTTAATAACTCGAAAAATAAGAGTCGGATAAAATTTTTATAGAGAAAAAATGGTCTCAGAATTTAGTCAAGAACACGTCTTTACAAAGACACGGGGTTCTGAATTACCCTGTACAGTAAAAAAAAAAGACATTCTACAAGGTGTCAGGAATTTTAATATCAAAACTTCGGGAGCGTGTAGAAGATCGATAAACTAAGGAAAAAAGTCTTGTAGAGATATGTACGTTGTTGCTTCGTTTTAGAGAAAATCACAAAAAAGACAAAACGTTGCTTCATTTTTGCAATACCTTGAAGTATTATCGTCGCTAAAATCGTACACGAAAACAATATTAATAATAATTCCATTTTCAGGTAAAAACTTTTTTTGTTTCTTTAATTTTCTGCCTTTCTTTTATAAATTCGTCAGTTATTCATCAGAAGTTATCGAGTTATTAAAATTAATCCTGTCACAATATGTTGCGTACATATTCTAATGTTGACATGGTTTCCGTGTATGGTTTCTGCAACGGTAATGTTACTGAGGCGGTGCGAGAGTATATACGCCGATTTCCAAACAAAAGAGTGCCGGATCGGCGAATTACAATAGCTTTTAATAGGCTGCGAGAGACTAGCTCATTTTTAATTCAGTTTTCAAGATCCGTAAGAGTAAATATGTAAGTAGAAAATCGTGTCCTGCGTCGCTTTGATAACAATCCTGAAATCAACGTTCGGAGAACATCACATTACGATTTCCACGGCACAGAATCTGTCAAATTTTAAGAGATGATAACCGCCGTCCATACCATATTCAAAAAGTACAGAATTTATTACCTCAAGATTATTTCATGATGTTGAATTTTAGCAACTTGAATTTGGTTTTTTGAGCAATCTGACAATGATAATTTATTTCCATCAAAAATGATCTGGACGAAACTGCATTTACAAAAGAAGGAATTATTAATCAAAGAAATCATCATGTATGGGCTTATGAAAATACCAGGGCTGTTAGGGAAAGTAGGTTCCAGCCTGAATTTGCTATTAACGTTTGACTCGGAATTTGGAACGACTCTCTAGTGGGACCATTTTTTTTATCCGACAGATTAAATGCAGCCAGATATATAAATTTTTTGGAAACTGACTTCTTTGATTATTTAGTAGACATCCTGCAACAACGGAATGAAATGTAATTTCAACTTGATGGGTGTCCAGCTCATTATGGCGCGCACAACTATTCGAGCTTGGCTAGACAGACACTATCCACGGCGATAAATTGGACATGGAAGAGTAGTACCTTATAGCCACCCCGATCACTTGATCTGACACCGATGGACTTCTTTACGTGGCAAGTCCTGAAATAGGAAGTTTATTCGTCGTCCATCAACTTCAAAGAATAATTGAGAAATTGAATCGAGGCTGCAGTGCACCACAAATATCACCAGATCATTGTTTAACTGTAATACGAGCTATCCATACTAGATGCAATGCTTACATTGTTGTAAGAGGCCAACATTTTAAACAATATGTATGTACATTAAATAAGTGAATAATTACAACATGAATAAGTAATAAAAAAGTACAAGAATAAAAACTACATTTTTTTTGTGATTTCCTCGCAAAAAAAAACGAAGCAAAAACGAGCATATCTCTACAGGAGTTTTTTTTTTAGTTAGTTATCGATTCCCTACATGCTCCCGAAGTTTTAATATTTAAATTCTGGACACTCTGTATATGTATTCTTATATATAATATTACTGATATAAAAAGTTACAGTATAAGGAATATATAATCTCTGAGATGATAAAATTAAGCGTCTATGTATATGAGTATATCTGTACATATGTATATGATATAATTGCGATTCATTTGGTGCTACAAATGCTTTATTTCTTTCTCCAGATCAAACAAATGCTTCAAATGGTTTGTAGCGCTAAGTGAATTGCAGCTTATGTCTTGCATCTGTAGGTTTGAGGATGCGGTTAAGACCTTGCACGTACATTGTTCTCTTTTCTTCTTATATATTGTACTTTTTTAAAAATAAATTTCTGATTTATTATTACATATGTCAAATCATATACATGTGTCATAGTACGTATAGTTCCTTTTGGATAATATCATATTTCCTTTTTCTCGAATTTTTTCTCCTATTGTATTTTCGATAAACTATAAGAAAAAAAATTTGACAATTACGCATTTTTTGCGAAGATTAAGAACGTACGAAGTCATGACCGCGAACTAATGCAATGGGGAGTCTTACCAACGGGCTGGCCAATATAATTCCTATCCTGCTGAGCACCGCTGGAAGCCGCTGCAACATCACAGACACCAAACAAAGAGACTTACTCACCAACTTTTCCACCAACCAAATCCTTACTAATCATGTTTATAACAGAAATGGGTAAATATGAAGAGAAAAGAGAGTGTGAGAAAGAAAAGAGGAAAAGCAAGAAGAGAGCAAGAACTCTATAAGCATACAATATTCATAGAGAATGTTATATAAATATTATTAAAAAATAAAATATTATAATATTCTAAGAAAATTATATATATAAAATATTTTTTAATATTATAGAAATATTATTATATGTCCACTTTATATAATATGCTTGACATTATTTCTTTAATATCCACGGAATATTATTAAAATAATTATAAATATTAATTATTATTATACAGGAGTTCGACAATGAATGATTAAACACTCACATAGAGGCAGAATAAACTAAACTGAGCAGAAAAATCCTCTACTATTTTACAATTTTCGCAATAGTTAACGATTTATTGTATTAATTTATGAAGATAGATAAATTAGCCCTGCCTACCGCCAAATGTAAACGCGCATCGAGATAGAACCGCCAAGCGAGACGCGCGTTTGCAATCGCTAGGCACGTGAGATGTTATAGCAAAAATTCAAAAAATGGATTTCAAGTTACTGATGTAAGAACTGATGCAACAGTTTTATAAATTACAGTAAATGTTATTATTCTACTTTTTTTATGTTTATATAATATTACAATAACATTAAATATTATTTTTTAAATAATTATATAATATTATAAGTGATATATAGCCATTAATATTTCAAAAATATTATTTAATATTACATAATAATATATATACAATAATTATATAAGATAAGTAAAATATTGTTAAAATATTATATTTAATATTCTAAAAATGCGCTAAAAATATTACTTAATATTAAAAGAATATTAAACGCTTATAGGGAAGAAACAAAAGAGAGAGAGAGAGAGAGAGAGAGAGAGAGAGAGGCGGAGGAACAGAAGAAAAAAGGAGAAAAAGAGGAAGAGAAGAAGAAAGAAGAAAATGGAGTAGGAGAGAAGAAAAGACAATATGGGACGAAAAGAGAGAGAAATATAACCGACTGTCATAATCGACAGAAGAAAAAAAGAATTTAATGATGGAGACATGCATCATATTGCAGCTCCTTTTGAAAATAATAAGCACTTTCGAAGGAATAGCGCGCTATTTATGCCAGTGGTGCTTAAACTTGCAGCATGCTGAGCTATTCTACTTAACTATGGGTAAGTCGTCTTCTTTCCTTCTTTTCAAAGTAATTCTTTTAAATGATCGTGCATTAAATATACAGTATTTGCGTATAATAACAGTTACATAAATGCACACGTGTCGATATGATATATGTTGACGAATGTATCTTGAAGACTGATTGATTGATTGTTAACGGTAAAGATACAGTACAATCACTGAAATATAACATACTATGCCGTCTTCGTTAAAAGTGATCCGAGGGAAAGCGTTCCAAGTGGCATCTTTGTCCTTTCCTAATCTATACTCAGCTTTAATTGCATATGTGTACTAGACGATACTATTCATGCGCAGTTATGACTAAGTATAGGTTAGAAAAAAACAAAGATACTATTTGAAATGCTCTTTGTTGGATCGCGAAACTAGCGCCAGCGCTCATTCCAGTATATTTCAGTGGGCACAATCCGCGCGATTCTTTCGTGGCTTACGAGGAGCATTGGTTGAAAGGCAAGAAAATACACTCACACTCTCTAGAAAAAAATATGAATAACAGAATTATATAAATGTAAAAATCTTGAGAAAGATGCAAAGATTAGAAAAAATTATATGTTGTATGTTGTATTTGTGCATAGTTACAAATATAGTCACAAATTTTTATGTGCAAATCGTAAAAGAACAAACAGCGTGATAAACAAGTATCCAACATCACGAAAAATCTATTTCCGATAAACTAATGGTAGAATGCATCATGGTATAAACTATAAACGACCATTTTTTTTGTATAAATAATTCGGTAATAATTATTAATTCGATAATAATCTTATAAGAATAAAATATAAATTAAAAATTTATAGAATTAACTCTTTGATCGCAATTTTTTACGCATTTGCGATGCGTAAGACAATACCAAAAATCAGTCATATAATGAATAAGATTTCAATATCTAATATATATGTTTACCTGGCATATCTTATTTTATTTTCGAGATATAAATTCATTTTTTCTCATCGCAATCTTCTTGCGAATTAAATCTTCGATGAAATTAGAAGAATGATTGGGCAAAACTGTAGTTTTATGAGTTAAATTCAATATAAAGTCTTGTGGGATCTTATAATATTAAAACTTCAAGTAAAAAATTTATAGAGTTTGTTCTCTTCTCATTGAAGAGAAGATTGTCTTTTTGATTAAGAGCATATTGTCGATATTAATATATTAATCTTATCTAATATCAGTAATATTATCGCGTGATATTCATCTATTTTCTTGTCACAAAATTATAAAGCCGCAGCGCAGATTTTTACATAATGCATAACGTACAGTGCATATAAGAGAATCAACCAATCAGATTTCTTTCTTTTCTTCTATTTCATGGGAAAGAAAAATTTTGATTGGTTGAGTCTCTTATGCCTATACGTCATGTGTTACGCAAAAGTCTGTGGCGAGGTTTATAACTTGTAGATATTTATAGCTAATGTTTTTTTAAATTCAATTTATTAGCATAAATGCATTTATATTCTGAAAAGAAACAATAATTAATATTTTCATTCATGTGTTAATACCAGCGAATAGAAAGATTAATTCTTTTGTAAAATACAATTTAATTTGTTTATCCTGTAAGAAAAATTAATGGTTTATTATTAGGATCGGTTTAAAATATTTAATGCCTTGATATATTTATATGTACCAAAAACATAATTAACTGCATGTATGTATGCACGTGTATAACTTTAGACGAATACAATTAATAATCTTAAAAGTTGTATATATCTCTCAGAAGAAAGAAAAAAAAATTTACAATTAATTTTATTATAATTAATAAACTTGACTTTTAAACTGATCCCAAATATATTTGTCTAAAAAATGATTTATATTAATTTATTTCAAGTTATCATAGATCAACTTGTGTTAGTTACGCAAAAAAGATCGTACAGTCCCATTCAAATTCGCATCGCATCTAAATATATTTAATAAAAATGTAACTTATGCGTCATACATATATATCGAATAAAATGATTAAAAATACATCAATCAGTAAAGTACCTGGGTGACGGGATTCTCGCCCGGACGATAGACAACGTTGTGCATCGGTCGTTTGCGACCGACGTAATTCACGCAGACGAACTCGAGAAGACTCGCGTAGATGAAACACATGCATACCCCGTCCCATACGTTCATGGCAGTCAAGTTTGAAACGACGGGCAGCGTTCCCCGGAAGCCATTTGACGTGGTGAAAAAGTTGAGCATCGTTGTTACACCTGAAATAATAAAAAATAGGATAAAGAATATAGAGGATTATCTATGTATGAGAAAATTAATCTGAACTGTGATCGTGATTTGTGTATTTTTGAGAATACATAAGCTCTCGGCAATGTCCCAGTATAGTTTCTTATATTTAGAATTCTTTTCTTTCCCATCTTTTCAGAATAGTTTGTAATTTTCTTATAAGACTCGATGCTGGATCCCTACTGAGTAACTTAATAACTTTTTAACAAATATAACGAGTGACAGCTAAAGTCTGTTGGAGGTCACTTACGGTTATGACCTTGACAACATATATCAAGGTTAAAGTCATCGGAGAGGCCGCTAAAGTGAATATTTACCCGACCAATTTTTTTATTATAGAAAGGCAACAAATTGTATGCAGAGTATTATACTATGTGACATTGTCAGCAAATTGTTATCACAAATACGACAAAGTTTTCTTGACGTGCTACCAGCAGATTAGCAAAAACCGAACAAAATCCTGTCATAACTTAACGGTAGATTGAGAGCAGAACAGAAGTTGGCACATGCATATTCCTCATGAAAAAGTGAGTCAAAAATGTTAATAGCAAAATGTTGTGGCATCAATAGTTTTCAAATGGTGAGCATTTGGAAATAACCAACTACAAGGCATGAAATTCGCTCCGTCAAGAGCGGCGAAATTAAGTGGTCGGCCGCACGAACGCTTTGATGGACATATCGCTAGACAGCACAGCACCGAATGAGTCGCAAATGTTCATGATATTTCTGTATTAATGTCTATTGCGGTATTCTGAAATTGAGTTCGATTTAATTGATGAAAAATATTGTTGTATCGAATTTGCAATTGACATTATTTCTCATAAATTAAATCGAAATTCAATTTAAGAATACCGTAGTAGATATTAATATAGATATTTCACGAACCTTTGCAATATTTGTATTATTTTCTTTTTAAAGAATTATGAAATGATAAGTATTTCGTTCTTAGACTTACCAATCATCACTCGCGCCGGTACGGCATTCCATTCGAGCCAAAATGTGATGAACGAACTGGTTACTAGAATAATGCCTGGGATGAAAACCGTAGTGAAATAGAAGGAACGATCTCGCGTGAAGATCAAATCCACCTTCAAGCAGCTGTAATTACCTAAGTCAAGCACATGTAACTTTATTTTCTATGCTGCAGTAAAAATTAATGAAAATTTGAACTTTGTGGAGCAATATAGAAAATATAAATGAATGAAAATAGATAAAAGAATGAAAATATCTTGATAATACTTTGATAACATTTTGATTCAAATAGAGATAAACCGGATTTTAACGGATATTCAAATATTTAAATACCTATTATATAGACAGTCGCGATAACCTTGACCTTGACATATGTTGTGAAGGTCATGACTCTAACAATAAGTGACCTCCAATAGGTTTTAGCCAAAATTACTTCGGATCATAACTTTAACATCATATGTCAAGGTTAAGATCAAGATGAAATTTACCCTTGTCTCAATAATTATTTTCTGTATAACAAGTATATAAAATAATTAAAAGTTTGAAATAATTAACATTTAATCTTTTAAATTAGAATGACGTAGCAATTGTTCAAACATACATTTCTTTATACTTGAAAAAAAAAATAAAACATCATATATAGTCACCATATGGCCATTAAATATCGCATTTGTAAAAGCAGTATTTAAACAAAGTGTTAATATGAGCATCAAAAAGGGATTAGGAGCTATTTGTAAGCACAAAAGAACATTTATCATTAAGAAAACATTAGCTTAAATCTTCTGTCATAAATATAACTCTACATCGAATATTTCTCATATCTTCTTGAACGTTGAAAAAAAAGGATGTGAGCATTTATCCATTAATTATGATACAAATGATTCATGCCGGTGATATTCAATTATTACCATTTGTATACCTTATTAATTTGCAGTTAAGATTTTGGAAAGTGATCTTGGAAAATGATTTCAAATCACATTTTTATTTTATTAGATATTTGATAACAGATAAATAAGAAAAAATCGTAAAATATTGTACAAATAGAAATATGAATAAAAAGTAAAGCTTACATATTTATATTTTATCATAAAAGACATGACAATATAAAATTTTCTGATAAAATTCACACAACACACTCACACACATTTGAAGACTTATGACGACTTTACCATCTTATCATTATTCAATTGTACTTCTTGTATTACAATAATAGTATAACTCGTAAATACATACTCACCAGAATTTTTATAATTCTTATAATTAAAAAATTTTTATAAAATTTTGTTTTACAAAGGATAAACTTTAATTAAAATACAGTTATACTTCTCTTTTGACTTTGTTTAAAAAATATATATACATAAAGAAACTTTTTTAAATATCCTTTAAATATACAATTATATTACATATATGTATTGCGTGTTGCAATCAATGTTAATCAGCATATGTCGATTATTTTATAAATGTATTGATCAAAATAAACCAATAAATTAACCAATCAATTTTTTATTTTTCATATATTTTTTAAAGAATATATGAAATGAGTATGAATGAACAAATATTTATGAGTGTATACAATGCTCTTAATATATATATATATATATATATATTATATTGTAAATAAATATTATAGTACAATACTTATAATGAATAAGCGTTGCTATACAAATAATATAAAAAATATAAGATAAATAAAACTATAAAATAAAAATTTAATTTGTAATAAGAATCACTTATTATTTTTTTATTTCAGTAATGCAATTCAATTCAATACTTATATAGAAGATGAATTAATTATTCCTTTTTAGCATGTAGTATTCTAATTACTAAATTTGACAACACTCAATTCTACAGTCTCTAATTAATAATCTCCAATTAACAATAAGTGATAATTTTATCGTAATAATACACAAATTAATATACATATAATACAATGAAGCAAACATCGAATATCTACTTGGGATATCTTGGCATTTTGAATTTTGGTAAGCTTGGTCCTGTCTCTCTCTATTTCTCTCTCTTTCTCTCTCTTTCTCTTTCTCTCATTTATTCTCCTTTAAATTGCTTTACGCATTACACTCATATTGAAGAGATAGATATGAGAGAGATAGATTTTTACCTTGCTCTTCAAATCTGCGCTGGCACAGCGAGCACTTAGAGTCTCCAAAATCATCGAACTCGTCCTCCTCAACCATGATTTGTCCGTCAGCTGCAACAAAACAGCCCACGATCTTTCCTTCCTATCTTTTGTCTGTTCTTTCTTTCCGTATTCTTCCAGCTTCTGTGTGTCGAAAGGAGAAAGAAATCTTCACAGAGCCGAGAAATAAGCTCTAACAAGGGAAGACTCGGAAATGTATTTCACGAATTTTGACTTTTACGTGGTTATTCTGGGGCATTAAAAAATAATCCCTGAAAAGTGGTAAATTGCACTTTCATGTATTTTTCGAAAAAATGATAATTTTAGGTTGACAGATCGCTTTAAAACCTGGGGTAATTGATAGATATTTAAAAAAACAATTAATTTTTACGTATAATATGTATATTAAATCTGAAAATTGTTTTTTAGAAAATTAATAATTTTTGAGAGAAATAACATTCTTTGATTTCAACTTTTGGTCGTCGGTGAATGAATAAACATGTAATCTGAACAAAGACTTCGTAATTGCTCTACCATTTGCGATAATCCTACCGCTTTACTAATGATAACCATTCGCAAAGTATTTCAAACTTCAATTAAAATCAAAGAATGTTAATTTTTTTAAAAACTCAAAATCATCAAAATGTATTCTCTACATTAAAAGTAATTGTTTTTTTTTTTAATATCTATTAATTCTCTCAGATTTAAAAGTAATCTGTTACTGTGACTTATAACCACAATTTTCTCGAAAAAGTAATTTACAAGCTGTTTACAAGGATTATTTTTTAGTATTCTAGAATAACCACAAATGCTGATTAAAATCCATAAAATACATTTCTAAGTTTTCTCTTGTAAGAATATAAAAAGAGCTTGATCTACTCGTTGAAAGCAAAGCTTATGTTTTTTTATTATATAGTAATTTTATAAGTTATTTTTTACTAAGCTATTTATTAACTTTTAAAGCTATTTGATTTTTATGTATTATTTTAAATTTGTGATAATTTTTGATCGCCTAATAAATAAAAATAACAATAATAAATAACAATATTATGCATAGTAGGTATAATAAGTATATATCATTAAAAGAATGATACAGTTCGATTAAAAGGATTAAAATAAAAATATTAATTATCTCAAATTAAATTTATCAAAATTTGAAGAGAATTGATTGATTAAAAAACTAGATAATTCTACATGTTGAAATTTATCCATATTTAATTAGATTATTTGCTCACTTGATTACATATATGTTCTATTAATAATTAGAATATTTTCATTACATAATTTAAGTTGCATTTGTATATTCAACGTTACTCATTAATAATCGTAATCAATAATTTAATATTATTCTAACTAAATCAAATATAACTTACTTTCCGCCATGGTTAACTCCTTTAGGGCGAATTATTATACATATATTAAAAAATGAAATTATGTGTGAGTTAGTAGATTAATATTTAATTGTTTATTAATAATTTATTTTTTATTTTCTTTCTATTGGTGTTTATACATAAATATGAGTCATTAAGTTTACAAACTGTATTTTGATATAAAAAATTAGATAATACTTTCTATTATTTCTTTTCCTTATTCTTTGCCTCAAAGAAGAAAATATTCATTTCCTATAATTTTTTATATGTATGTGGCCTCCAAAATATTCTCTTACATTACAATTAAATAATTTTTTAAGATTAAGATTAAGATTAAATTGTAAAAAGCTATTTATATTGTACCGTGGCGGTAGTACATCTAATGCAGTAGAAAAAATTCTTTCGTTTATCGATTAACAAAATGCGCTATTATTTTATTTTAAAACTATAATATAATATGTCTACTATATTATTAGATCATTGATTTTATGAATTTTATTTTTTTAAGTGAAAGTTATGATTAAATATTAGTTTTTAGTTTAGTTTTGAGTACGAATCTAGTATTAAAACTAGAATTAAAAATGGAAAAATCAATAAAATTAAATAATATTTTAATAATAAGTAATATTTTATAGATTTTATATAAATTAAATATAAATATTTTTTATATAGATTACTGAATATAAATCTATTCTAACAACTTTTTCATATTTTAATTCTTGAGAATTTGTTCCTCTTCTGATGATAAAATCACAAAAACCTTCTTAATCGCAATTTTCATTAAATTATCGTTTGAAGAATCAAAGATCTAATATTTTTATTTTCTATTTAAGTTATAAATATTGTATCAGGAACATCATATTAGTTTTAAATTTTCACAATAAATTTGTGGATTAAAAAATAATCTGTTTAATACTAAACAAAATATGTTTTTTAATATTCATAATATGTAATGTCATAAGGTTATAGGTAAAAAATTATATTAAATTATATTAAACGGTCTACTTTTAATTTAATTTTAATTTTTTTAAAATTGTATAATATTATTTTGATTAAAATCATATTAAGGGAGCTTTTGCTTGAATTGAAAAAAAATTGTCATTTTGTATTTTTTTTTAAGTTTTATGTTTTAAAAATACTCAGTTCAAATATGACGATATTTGCAAAATTGACAAATTCAAGATCTTAATGAGATTGCCGCGCAGATAAGTAAAAAATACGTTTTAAAAAATCGTGCGAATAGTATATCTCGAAAACGAATTATTCAATCGAATACAAATTTGGAGATATGTTTGTTTTGTAAAACAAAGAGTAACTCATAAAAAGTAGTTTTCTGTTAGTTTTTGGACCCTTAATTTTTAGACTAAACTGTGTGACAAATGATACCTTACAATAAAACATTAACAAAGAAGTTTCAGATTGAGGTGACGATTGTTATCATAGCTGGGGGGATCATGTCATTATATATTGGATTAGATGTGTGTACAACTATTTCTAAAAAACAAAATCAAGATAGACAAGATGATAAATTTTTTCATTGGAAGTTCAATTGATTTACAAAAATCTCCAGGATAAATGATATTAAGTTGATTTTGCCTTCATCGACTGGATTAATTGCGATCTTGCTTTCATCAGCTGAATCAACCTTAAAATATCGGACCTCGTACATTTATGATAATTTGATAATGAACTTTGATTCCATCCTCCCCCTCCCGCAACTCTAATAACAATTGTTACCTAAATTTGAAACTTCTCTGTGAGTAATGTCTTATTGTAATGTATCATTTGACACACAGTGCAGTCTCCAAATTGAAGACTCAAAACCGGGCGTGAACTTAAAAGGGTGAACTTAAAAAACTAACTTTTTGAAATTAAACGAAAAGTATATAGTATAGCTAGGCAAGTTCTAAGCCAGGTCCTTTGAGGGGATGCAGGGCGCGGGGGGTATGGAGCGAGGAGATAGCGCGACGAAGGTATCATGTTTACTGTTGGCGGTATCACTGTTTATGTAAACATACGCGCCGCCATGCGGTGACGTATTGCTTGCTATCTCTTATAGTTTCGATGACATTCGCTTCAAAATAAAAAAATCGATTTTCTTCAAAGGAGTGTTTCACCCTCTAAAACTGTAATTCCGCACGAACAAAAAATAGTTTTGTATTACGGGTGAACTATTCTACTTGCACACAGAATTTCAGAATTTTTTGAATTTTTGAGTTGTCTAGTATCCCTTGTAAGTATACATTAGAAAAGGATAATTTATACCACTTGAAACGCTCTTCGTCGGATCGCGAAACTCTAGCACCAGCACTCGTTCCAGTAGTATTATATTTCAGCGGAGATGCCTGACGAAGAGTTAGAAGAAAGCCTCACCCCAAAAGCAAACCACGGCGTTTTAATTAAAAAGCGAGACAGGATCCAAGGTTGCCAATATGCATTTTTTAGGACAATTTAGGGAATCTAATATCTTACACGTGTGTATACATTGTCAAAATATGAATAGTATAACCGCTGTCCGATTCGTGTTCACAACGCTCATGAGCATTATTTGTCTTTGTGTACTGTTTGACAAACAACAAAAAATGAAATGATTTTTAAGTGTTGTGAGCGTGAATCGGATCTATGTAAACCATCACTGACAAACAGGAGATACAAGTATATGGATATTCGATCACTGCATGCACAAGTAACTTTTTTACATAATTATATACGTATGGCTTCTCAAACTTCATAAGTCACAACTTATTTTGTAGGTTATTTAAGGTGGTTGTATATTACACAGGAGCGGTCTGTGGGATGGGCAAACCGAAAAATCGTCCGAAGCGCCAGAACATGGAAGCATCACTTACAATTAATTGAAAAAAAGATTACTGTTCAAAAATTGCGATCTGCAACAATTTTTCAACAGTAATTTTTATTTCCCCAGTGTATTTCCTCGCTGATATTTGAAATAATAAGTTAATAAATGAAACAGATATTAGTAAAATAATTTTCTAAAGTTTCATAATGAATATTTGCCTAATTACTCCTATTTTCTTCGGTTTAGGTGATTCATAAATATTCTATTTATCTACAGTCCTTTAGTTTTTGAGCAAATTTCTAAATCCTTTTACGCTATAATTAAAAATGTACTGTCGTTTTTTGTCTAGTACAGAAAACGTATGTTAAAAGCATTAACTTCAAATGCAATTATTTTTTTAACATGATTATCTTTCCTCCTATAAATTATGCATATGTATAAAAAATATCATTATTTTCAAATAATAAAAGCTTCTAACAAATCTTTTAAGAAAAGTTATTTTACGATACAACCACCTTAATGCTCCCATCCAAGATCATATTATCTTATTAATCAAAATATGTCCTCCTTGATATCATATAACATCGTAAAAATAGAATTTCAATATCATGCATACTTTCCGAAAAATTCAAGTGCACTGATAAAAATGGGACACCCTGTATATGAAATATTGTATATATTTTGATTATATTAAGAAAATTATATCTTTACGTAAAAATTATTGTTTGCCAAAATAAGGAAATAATAAATGATATATAAAAAATAAAATTCTAATAATTTACAATGAATTATAAAAGCGTGAAGAACATTAAGAGTGCATTTAATATTATTTTTATAATTCTCAAAAAATATTGTTTTAGATGCGCACATCTCATTTTTTCCCTAAATAAACTTACTTAGAAAATATATACAAGCGATTGTTTTGCTTACCTCGCCAGCTCACTTTGATCGGACATGTGATTGTCTGATTTTTAATGAGATACGCATTCAGTGACGTTAGGCTTGGGCTTTTTCGTAATGTACCCTCATCATTTTTCCACACATATGTAATCGCTGTCTGCTCATACGATACTGAAAAATAAAATTAAGTCTTTATTAATTTAAATTAACGAAAAATTAACGAAAATTTAACGAAAATGAATATTTAAGCAATATAATTGCCCTTTTATATTATTCATATTTAACAGCTATTCTAATTACTTACTGCTCTCAATTGCGAATGAACACAATGGGTCATCGAAAGGGAAGATATTAAGTCTACCCTGGCAGGATAGAATAAGATGACGTCTGTAAAAGAATAATGATTCATTTATAAAGACTATTTTTAACTAATAAATAAAAAAATTAAAAATTTATCCAATATTGATTCCAAGTTATTTAAAATTTTTTTTTAATATTCCTTAAAGTATTCGCAATTATAGAAAAAGAAATTATCATAACATTTAGTTTGCATGAAAGGTATATTGATGTTTCAAATACCGCATAAGATAGTTGACGGTGCCGTTACGATATATCCGCAAAGCAAAGTGAACAGGAATGATGGGATCTTTGAAATCGCCATGCATTATGAAATACGTATCCGGCAACCAGATGTTCTCGTAATGATGAATTGCATTTAAAAACTCATATCTGGATCTATTGCTATAACGCAATCGGGGATCGTACCACTGTTGCTGCAATAAGAATTCCACCTCGTATTTCTATAAAAGCAGAAAGACGATCACAATTCATATGAATATATGTAAACGTGACTATGATTACATATACAGTGATCCAGACTAATCAGAGGATCCGGTATGTGCGTATTTCTCATAAAAAACCGAGTTGAAAATGTTAATAGCAAAATGTTGAGGTGTCAATAGTTTTTGAATGGTGAAGCTTTGAACATATGTGTGCAAGACATTTGTGGTTACAGGAAAAGGGCCCTCATGTTCTCTCTCAGGTTTCTCTCTTACACATAGTTATCGTTAGTTAAACCCTAAATACAATACGAGACAACAGCCATAAGAAAAGCGATAGGAATAATATAAAAATAATAAGCAATGTATAATTGTTGCTTTCCTTAGATATAATAAGAATAGATCGAGCTTGAAGATCAGGTAGAAAAGGAAAAGCAATGGATGCTGTATAACTTTTTCTTTTTGACAAGGAAAATATGACAGAGCGCAGAGCAGCGTAGAATGTGATTGAATGAGCAAAATTATAAAAGAAAATTAGATCTCGCTGAAACCATAAGATACTTTGGTCATATAGATGTTTACATAGTACAAAGAGGAAGTACGACTGCGCGTGCATCAGGAAATCAGTGATAAACCACTTCCGTAGAGTTCTTTTCAGGATCCAGTTCAAATAAACCAAACCTTGGTCCCTCTCTGCATGCCATATGCCACATACGAGGACGAATCAATAAGTACCCGTGTTAGTAATGAAGATGCAATTTTTTCACAAAAAAATTTGTTTTTTTTTTTCAATGTAATCATTTTTTAGGAGGATACACTTTTCTCAACGCCCCTGTCACTTTTTTCACCCCTCCAAAAAATACGATTTGTCGAATTCTGCAAAATAAGGCCTCTGCTTCGGTAATGACCCCCTCATTTGATGTGAATCTCTTTCCATCGAGGTATTTTTTCAAGTTTGGAAACTTGAAAATTCGGAGAATACGGTGGATGCGGCAGTAATTCATAGCGTAATTCGACCAATTTGGCTGTGGTGACTGTAGAGGAGTAAGTCGGTGCATTGTCATGGTGGAACCACTTTTTTTTGCCAAATGGAGCCGCTTTTTCTTCAATTCACTCTGAATCATTCTGAAATTTTGTATGGCGTCATTTGAAAGATGGTAGTACACGAAAGTAATGACAACTTGCATCAGCAACATCGCCTGTCTTCAAACACGGATACTTATTAATTTGCCTTTATATAACCGTCTTTGTGAGGACGATTGTTTGGATTAATATTAATTGGAAAAATACTATTAGCCTATTTTACCCAAATATACATATACAGGATATCTGATAATTTTCGTATAGCGGCAAAATGGATTAAACCAAGTAGAAAAGTCATCTATAATAATAATACTGCAAAGCCTGAATTAACAATTAAAAGAAATGTTCTTTTTATTTCATAAATTTCGGAATTTTCATGTTAGGGCCACTTCTGCCTGCATTATGTCGACTATCTATATTCTATAGACTAATAAGCTTATTTATTTAATAATTTTTTATAATAGATAGATTTGCTAGATATATATCGGCGTTGCGTAAAGTTATTTACGCTTAACTCTTAGTGCCCTTTTCTTTCCAAGTTAATTTTTTATTTATAAATTATACAGGAGTTTGTTATTTAAGAATTAATATATTTTAATATCATAATTATTTTATTTTTTACTAAATTGATAAAAGTATATTTATATTACCAGACTGGACTCGTCAGGAGAAGCTAAGCTTAACAGCAATACGCTCACGTTTACAGTCAACGTTCCTGAAACAATAAATAAGTATAATTTTATTTGCTACATTCTAAATCGTCCGATCGATCACATTGCAAAGCTATTAACATCCATTTTTCAATTTAATACAAGGAGAAAATGTTTTTATAAGGCTGCAATAATAAAAGATCTTTTAAACGCCTCTCATAAATAAAAAAAACATGACATTAAGCTAAACATTCAGCAATACTTTACAATCGACTCATGCTATAACGATAAAAATTTTGTTCAGTAAACTATTCTATCAGTTATATAAATGTTGCTGCATATATTTTATAGACTTCGTCTTTTTATATATAGGACGGGACATTTAAAATGTTACAAGCTATAATCCTGAAAATATGCGTCGAATGAAAAATATATTCAAACAAAACTTTTAACGTCGATTGATTTGACCTTGAGTGGTGCTAGTAAAATCAGGACAAGGTTTAAATTAAAAAAATTTTTTTAATCCTCCGTTTTTCACATCCTTGAAGCTTATCTCAATTTTTTAAAATACTACAATGAAACACTTTTTGTAGTTCAAATACTACTAGTTCAATACTACCATTAGCATCATCCAAAGTAGCCGATTGACCGTCATAAAAGGTCAAGATCATTGGAAATTATTCCTTTTTTTTGATTATTACATAAAAATGATCATGATTCGACGTCGATTTGATATCGATTCAATATCGAATTAACGATCATTTCTAAATAATGCTAATAATTTTCAAGCATTCTAACTCAAAAAGTATTTAATAAAAATATTTTGTTATAGCGTTTTGAGTAGCTCGTTTGAGATGTACTATGAAAACATGCAATAAAAAATGATGAAATTAAAAAATTCAAAGTAATTTTGCATTGACAATGCCACCTACGATCAAACTAATATAATATCATCTTATGTCCTCTTGGAAGTCACAAAACTTTTGTCTGATCATATTTTTATCCAATATATACTTTCAGGGATAACAGCTTTAAATGTCGCAGTCTGTATAAAAAAAATTCATTTAAAGTAATTTGTACTTCCCGGCGTGAATTAAATTTTGAAAATAATATTAGCGTTGCAAGTTACAGATCGATCGGTGTAAAATATTTGCATTGTATGGAAATCGTTCAATTCAATTTAATTATAAGTATGTAGAAAATGCAGTCTTCTACAAAATTATAATATATTAGTATCTCTAAGTGCCTGTATGCTGTTTTTGGTGTGTGTGCGTGCGCGTGCGTGCGTGCGTGTGTGTATGTGTGCGCGTGCGTGTGCGTGCGTAAGTGTTTGTGTGTGTATAGGTATATAGAGCAACATAGCTGATGCTATTAAGGAATACGCTAAAAGCTTTGTTGAATCATGCTGTGCTCATGCTGCTACTTATTTGGAAAAAAGTTGGAGGTCGTGATTAGGACGTACTCGGATTGGTTTACGAACTTTATCCTAAAATATTGTTGATACGTATTTCTCCCTCTCCCCTCTCTCTCTTTCTCTCTCTCCTCTCTGTTTTTTTCCCTCTCTCCCTCCCATCCCCCTCTCTCTTTCTCTCTCCCATCTTCCCTCTTTCTTTCCTCCTCTTTCTATCTTAATTTTTTTCGGAATATATTTTAAGTCTTTTTCTGGATTTGAAACACATTTTTATTTAGAACAAAGGCGCTAAATTGCACAATATGTATTTAAGAAAATAAACAATACCATCTAATTATTAGTCATAAAAATAGATTGCGAAAAAGAACAAATAAAAATATATTGCAAAAATTATATTGTACCTTGCTTGAAAATATGTATAATACATAAATCAATCACTACCAAAAATTTCTTAAAACTTATAATATTTACTTTTATACGTTAGATGACAAATAATATAATACTAAGTAAATATACTTCATATTTCTTGAAGATAGAAAATTAGATAATATATTTTAGATAAGGGACGGGGGTCTAGTCTCTACTATAGAACAGCGTATTCTACTTACTACTATTATAGATATTATTTACTACAGATTTGCCATCGGATACATCTGTGTCCCTAAATACGCTATCTACATAAATCATTTCAATCTATGAAGGTCTCGAGTCTCAACCAGCTATCTGATTGTTATCACGTGTAAACAATTAAGACATATACATTTATTGCTACAAAAGTAAAGAGAGTAAAGTTGCACCGAAAAATGTAGTCTCTCACTAAAATTTATATTGACAAATGTTACCATTGATTTAACCTTGGATAGTCGTGTGAAATTCACCATCAATTTCTTAAATGGAAGTAGACATTTTTGTCAGACATATTTTGTCTGAAACATTTTTCCGTATTTTCCACATTTGTTGAGATATTTGCCTAGTTCGACTAAAATGACACCCTGTATATACAAGGTGTTCCAGAACTATTAATTAATATTTCAGGGAGCGAAAAAGGATGAAATTATGAATTAAAAGTTTCTTTGTCATTTTTGACTTAGATTATTATTTACCAAGTTATCAACGATTAAAATTGATCAATTAAATTGCGCGCGGCCAGAGTATGCAAGAGCGTAACATGCTATAGGACCACTCGAGCTTGCTATGCATCATCCCGCGCCATACAACTTTTATTTTAACTTCTCATATAAATAAATTAATTAATTAAATTAATAAAATAAAAAAATTAAATTAAATTAAAATAAAAGTCTATATACAGACTTGTTACAGGATTTATACTACGTATTAATAATTATGTATAAAAATTCCATTTAAAAAAGTGGAGGTGACCTTCGTATCTTTTTGGTGCCTCCACCTAGGAAAAAAAAAAACGTGATCAAAACACGTCTCCCTCGAAACCGTACCACTTTCATCTGAAACATTTTTTCGTATCATCAAACACAAGCGAGTTATTTAGGTGTTTTAGATGCCTCACCCTGTATATCCTACTAAAGAGATACAGGATATCCCAAAATTTGCGACTGTAGCAAGAAAGTTTCGAGATGTTGAATAAAAAACATTATTTGTTAATTTTTATTTTAAACATTGGCTTCTAAAATATATAATATAAGTATAATCAACTACATTTAGGTAGATACTCTAAATATTAATAAAAGCACTGAAGTGCGCTACCATCAAAGCTCATTAAAGCCTAATCTACATAAGATGCATAACGCACGTCGCAGATTACAAGACTGGAAACTAACCTAACGTGTTTTAATTATAAAAAGTTGCAGGACGTAGAACAAAGAAAGTTGAGTGAACTTATACTTTTCGGTCCTGCGTCCTACAACCTTTTATAATTGAAATACGTTAGATTATAGTCTTGCGATCTGAGATCCGTGTTCTGCGTCTTATGTAGATCGGACTTAAAATATTATTGCACGCGCGACTTATAGACACATAATTATCTAAATATAATCTGTAATTAATCATATTTTAATTCTTATTATTTCAAAAATTACTGTTTAAATTAAAAAATTACAAATAACTTTTTACTTAACTTTTCGACAAAATCATATTTTGTTATAGCATTTTAAGTAGCTAATTTTGGGACACTCTGTATAGTAAACGTTAATAAGTAAATATATCGAGCATAAAGTCGAATCATTTTAAGTGGAATGTAAATCTAGTGATTAACAATTAAATTATTTTATTTCGCATAGTAACATAATTGAATTTATAGCATATATGATTGGTTGATCAAAACAGATGATGTATATACATCATAAAAACGTTTATTTATCAGATTTGACTTCATATAAATTTTCATTAATATACATGTTTGTTTTAACATCTAATGAAACAGAATCAGATCTATTTATAAAAATTATAAGAATTTTTCATACACGATTAATTCGAAACCCAACAATATGCTAATAAATATGCAACAAATGAATATCTGAGAAGTTCATTGGGGCATTATTAGGAAAATTCCATTATTTTGCATTTTTTTTTTCATGGAAACGATGAGAAAATAATTTGTATATCAAATTAATGATTTTTTTGTAAGAAACGATGTATGATAAAATTGTGAAAGTTCCTGAGGTCACTGTGATTAACAAACATCAGTAAATTGGAGTTAAATTGGGTTTTAATGATCGCAAAACGGTTTGATGATTGTGCAAGTGAGGGAAAGTCCGCTGCCACAACTAAACATACACATCACAAGTCACAGTCCCACAAATACGAGCTCATAGTACCAACGATGATTGCAACTCGCTTTGTTTTAATGTCTAACGTTGTACAATTAAACATCAAGTTTGTTCATTCACATTATCATTCCTTGATTGTTCAATAGTGCTACTGTCAATGCTTTGTTCATTGTTCATATCTTTTTATGCATATATACAGGGTAAGGAAAACATACAGGGACCCCGAAATATTTCAAAAAACATAAGTTTCACAGAAAACTGTTTCCATTGTAAGGCTTAAAAAGGTCTGCCAATTAATCATATCAATTTGATCTTGAATAGCGTCACCAAGGTCAGGTCAACGTTACATTGATTTTTTTATTTAAGAAAACTCCCATTTTTATTGCATATTCTTGTAGAATTGCATTATCTTGAGAGTTCTTCAAAACACATAAAATACAAATATTTTTTCAGTAAGTACTTTTCGAGTTATCAAGCTTGAAAGTTACAACACATCATTAGTGTGTTATTCAATGTATCCGACTGTCGACTAAAACCTTGAGTGTTGTTCAGGGTCATGCCTTGAATAACATTTGTTAAAATCAAGGCCACTAGAGGGGTTGTCCCTCTTATTTTATTTTTATTTATGCACTAAAAATTTATTTTTAAGTAAATACAGTAATTAAGTAATTTAACGTCGATTTCAAGCCTCATCACTACTTAATGAAAGAATATTTCGTTATAATATTTTGAAGAGATCTCAAGATAAGTTATAAAAATATACAATGAAAAATTAGGAAGTTTCCGTTTAAAAAAAGCAGTGCCTTGACCGGACCTTGACGATGAAATCAAGTACCCGAAATCAAGCTGATAAACCGATAAATTGATCTTTTTAAATCTTACAACTTTATCAGAAACAAATTTCTAAACA